GGGTGTCTGTCCGGCTTCGGGTGGGTCCTTGGTAGGGCTTGGGGTGGGTTCTTGGTAGGTATTGGGGCTGGGTTCTTGGTAGGGCTTTGGGCTGGGTTCTCGGTAGGGCTTGGGACTGGGTTCTCGGTAGGGCTTGGGGGTGGGTTCTCGGTAGGGCTTGGGGGGGTGGGTTCTCGGTAGGGCTTGGGGGGGGTGGGTTCTCGGTAGGGCTTGGGGGGGTGGGTTCTCGGTAGGGCTTGGGGGGTGGGTTCTCGGTAGGGCTTGGGGGGGGTGGGTTCTCGGTAGGGCTTGGGGGGGTGGGTTCTCGGTAGGGCTTGGGGGGGGTGGGTTCTCGGTAGGGCTTGGGGGGGGGTTCTCGGTAGGGCTTGGGGGGGGGGTTCTCGGTAGGGCTTGGGGGGGGGGGGGGCTTGGGGGGTGGGTTCTCGGTAGGGCTTGGGGGGGTGGGTTCTCGGTAGGGCTTGGGGGGTGGGTTCTCGGTAGGGCTGGGGGGTGGGTTCTCGGTAGGGCTCTTTCGGGATCGGGATAGGCTCTCGGGCTTGGGGAACCTCTGTAGGGCTCTGGGTAGGTTCTTGGTCGGGCTCAGGGTGGGTTCTCGGTAGGGCTCGGGGCGGGCTCCAGGTACTCAACTGACGGGTTCCAGTTCACTCAACTGGCGGGCTCCGGTTCACTCAACTGGCGGGCTCCGGTTTACTAAACTGGCGGGCTCCGGGTGTTTGACTGGTCGGGCTCCGGGTGGGTGACTGTTCGGGCTCCAGGTGGGTGTCTGTCCAGCTTCGGGTGGGTTCTTGGTAGGGCTTGGGGTGGGTTCTTGGTAGGTATTAGGGCTGGGTTCTTGGTAGGGCTTGGGGGTGGGTTCTTGGTAGGGCTTGGGGGTGGGTTCTCGGTAGGGCTTGGGGGGTGGGTTCTCGGTAGGGCTTGGGGGGTGGGTTCTCGGTAGGGCTCGGGGTGGGCTCTTTCGGGATCGGGATAGGGCTCTCGGGCTTGGGGAACCTCTGTAGGGCTCGGGGTAGGTTCTTGGTCGGGCTCAGGGTGGGTTCTCGGTAGGGCTCGGGGCGGGCTCCAGGTACTCAACTGACGGGTTCCAGTTCACTCAACTGGCGGGCTCCGGTTCACTCAACTGGCGGGCTCCGGTTTACTAAACTGGCGGGCTCCGGGTGTTTGACTGGTCGGGCTCCGGGTGGGTGACTGTTCGGGCTCCAGGTGGGTGTCTGTCCAGCTTCGGGTGGGTTCTTGGTAGGGCTTGGGGTGGGTTCTTGGTAGGTATTAGGGCTGGGTTCTTGGTAGGGCTTGGGGGTGGGTTCTTGGTAGGGCTTGGGGGTGGGTTCTTGGTAGGGCTTGGGGGTTGGCTCCCGGTCAGGCTCGGGGTGGGCTCTTTCGGGATCGGGACAGGCTCTCGGGCTTGGGGAACCTCGGTAGGGCTCGGGGTGGGTTCTTGGTCGGGCTCAGGGTGGGTTCTCGGTAGGGCTCGGGGTGGGTTCTGGTAGGGCTCGGGGCGGGTTCTTGGTAGGGCTCGGGGTGGGTTCTCGGTAGGGCTCGGGGCGGGCTCCAGGTACTCAACTGACGGGTTCCAGTTCACTCAACTGGCGGGCTCCGGTTCACTCAACTGGCGGGCTCCGGTTTACTAAACTGGCGGGCTCCGGGTGTTTGACTGGTCGGGCTCCGGGTGGGTGACTGTTCGGGCTCCAGGTGGGTGTCTGTCCGGCTTCGGGTGGGTTCTTGGTAGGGCTTGGGGGTGGGTTCTTGGTAGGGCTTGGGGTGGGTTCTTGGTAGGGCTTGGGGGTGGGGTTCTCGGTAGGGCTTGGGGGTGGGGTCTCTGGTAGGGCTTGGGGGGGTGGGTTCTCGGTAGGGCTTGGGGGGTGGGTTCTCGGTAGGGCTTGGGGGTGGGTTCTCGGTAGGGCTTGGGGGGTGGGTTCTCGGTAGGGCTTGGGGGGTGGGTTCTCGGTAGGGCTGGGGGGGGTGGGTTCTCGGTAGGGCTTGGGGGTGGGTTCTCGGTAGGGCTCGGGGTGGGCTCTTTCGGGATCGGGATAGGCTCTCGGGCTTGGGGAACCTCTGTAGGGCTCGGGGTAGGTTCTTGGTCGGGCTCAGGGTGGGTTCTCGGTAGGGCTCGGGGCGGGCTCCAGGTACTCAACTGACGGGTTCCAGTTCACTCAACTGGCGGGCTCCGGTTCACTCAACTGGCGGGCTCCGGTTTACTAAACTGGCGGGCTCCGGGTGTTTGACTGGTCGGGCTCCGGGTGGGTGACTGTTCGGGCTCCAGGTGGGTGTCTGTCCGGCTTCGGGTGGGTTCTTGGTAGGGCTTGGGGGTGGGTTCTTGGTAGGGCTTGGGGGTGGGTTCTTGGTAGGGCTTAGGGTTGGCTCTCGGTCAGGCTCGGGGTGGGCTCTTTCGGGTTCGGGATGGGCTCTCGGGCTTGGGTTACCTCTGTAGGGCTCGGGGTAGGTTCTTGGTCAGGCTCAGGGTGGGCTCTCTGTAGGGCTCAGAGTGGGTTCTTGATAGGACTCGGGGTGGGTTCTCTGTAGGGATCAGGGTAGGTTCTCGTTAGGGCTCTGGGTGGGTTCTCGGTCGGGCTCGGGGCAGGCTCCAGGTACTCAACTGACGGGTTCCAGTTCACACAACTGGCGGGCTCCGGTTCACTCAACTGGCGGGCTCCGGTTTACTAAACTGGCGGGCTCCGGGTGTTTGACTGGTCGGGCTCCGGGTGGGTGACTGTTCGGGCTCCAGGTGGGTGTCTGTCCGGCTTCGGGTGGGTTCTTGGTAGGGCTTGGGGTGGGTTCTTGGTAGGGCTTGGGGGGTGGGTTCTTGGTAGGGCTTGGGGGTGGGTTCTTGGTAGGGCTTGGGGGTGGGTTCTTGGTAGGGCTTGGGGGTGGGTTCTTGGTAGGGTTTGGGGTTGGCTCCCGGTCAGGCTCGGGGTGGGCTCTTTCGGGATCGGGATAGGCTCTCGGGCTTGGGGTACCTCTGTAGGGCTCGGGGTAGGTTCTTGGTCGGGCTCAGGGTGGGTTCTCTGTAGGGCTCGGGGTGGGTTCTTGGTAGGGCTCGGGGCGGGTTCTCTGTAGGGATCGGGATGGGTTCTCGGTAGGGCTCGGGGCGGGCTCCAGGTACTCAACTGACGGGTTCCAGTTCACTCAACTGGCGGGCTCCGGTTCACTCAACTGGCGGGCTCCGGTTTACTAAACTGGCGGGCTCCGGGTGTTTGACTGGTCGGGCTCCGGGTGGGTGACTGTTCGGGCTCCAGGTGGGTGTCTGTCCGGCTTCGGGTGGGTTCTTGGTAGGGCTTGGGGTGGGTTCTTGGTAGGTATTGGGGCTGGGTTCTTGGTAGGGCTTGGGGGTGGGTTCTTGGTAGGGCTTGGGGGTGGGTTCTTGGTAGGGCTTGGGGGTGGGTTCTTGGTAGGGCTTGGGGGTGGGTTCTTGGTAGGGTTTGGGGTTGGCTCCCGGTCAGGCTCGGGGTGGGCTCTTTCGGGATCGGGATAGGCTCTCGGGCTTGGGGAACCGCTGTACGGCTCGGGGTAGGTTCTTGGTCGGGCTCAGGGTGGGTTCTCTGTAGGGCTTGGGGTGGGTTCTCTGTAGGGATCGGGGTGGGTTCTCGGTAGGGCTCTGGGTGGGTTCTTGGTCGGGCTCGGGGCAGGCTCCAGGTACTCAACTGATGGGTTCCAGTTCATTCAACTGGCGGGCCCCGGTTCACTCAGCTGGCGGGCTCCGGGTGGGTGACTGTTCGGGCTCCAGGTGGGTGTCTGTCCGGCTTCGGGTGGGTTCTTGGTAGGGCATAGGGTTGGCTGCCAAGACAAGTACAAGGGGAATGTTGTCTACGCTTATGTCGACCGTGCTCAAAGCCACAGCTCAGGATGGAAGCAAGTCGATGAAGAACTCTGTAGGGTAAGGCAGGTCCTAGTCAACAACGGCTTCTCCAATGGTTTCGTTGAAGACATCATAAAAAGGAAGGTGAAACACCATGCAACCTCTGAAGAGTCAACTAACACAACACCTGTACCCCCTATTAGACTATTTTACAGGAACTTCTTTTCCACAGCTCATAAAACGGAGGAAAGGGTCCTGAAAGATATTGTTAATAGGAACGTTATCCCTACACACAAAAATCAGAAGATACAATTGACAATTTACTATAAAACCAAAAAAACAGCCAACCTACTCATGAAAAACTCTCCTGACACAAAGCAGAACGCCTTAAAGGAGACTAACGTCGTCTATACCTTCGAATGCCCACTTGGGGACTGTAAGCCTCAAAGAACTCAGTATATAGGCAAGACAACAACATCTCTTTCCAGGCGATTAACAATGCATAAGCAACAGGGCTCCATTAAGAAACATATCTCTTCCCACAACCAGGCCATCACCAGAGAAGTCTTAACAAACAACACAGAAATCATCGATAGATACAGCGATAGCAGGCAGCTTGACATCTGTGAGGCACTACACATCAAGAAGTCAACACCAGCAATCAACAGCCAATTGATGCACAACTATATTCTACCCACTTCAAGACTCCGTACCAATATAGAAGCATCAAGAGGAAGTATGGGTCAATAGGCCCTTTGCAGTTACTTCCATTCTTCCCTCTCATTTATCCAATTTATACCCATTGTTCCGTGTTCTGCGTTGGTCAAAAGTTTGTTCACCTCTTCCAAAACTGTTGCAACACATCACCTCACCCAAATGCGAGTATATAAGACAAGCTGTTTAATGTTAGCATAAGTAAAACTCTGTTTAGTGTTCTCAGGTTACAGTTGTGTGTGTATAAACTAAAGTCTCTGAAAATGTAACAAGTTATTACGAAACGCGTTCAAGCCTCGCGTCAGACTAGAAATAAAAATGAATTTTGGAGAATTGATTTTTCAATTACCATCCACAGTAAAAAAGAAACATAAGAAATATTGAGAAAATTCGTGGTAGAATTATTAATCTTACCTTTTCGGTCATATTTAACAATATATACATTATATATAATATATATATATTACTCTTATTACAAATTCGGTACTTACCGCAGTTTGGATCTGGCAACCGAGGTCCCCGTGGCCCGGAACCCTCGGCCTCCACCAGCACTGTTGTGGACCAGCAGACGACATACAGGAGCAGCTCGCCAGCAACATTCCCACTCAAAATGCAGACGTCAAACAACAGCTCTGACCCACGGAGAGTGGATAAGATTGTTAGGTAAGTGAATGTAGGGGGGATATTGTAGTGCAAGATGTTATTATTGTGTAATGATGAGGATCTGTGTGTGTGTGGGGGAGGAAGTTAGTAGGTCATCATATGGACAATTCGTTCTTATATAGGCATGGGTTTTCTTGTCTCTGTACAATGCTTTGGTGTGATGTTTAAAGAATTACTTGTCTGTACACCTATATGGGTGGGATTTAGGGTATTATAGTTCGGTATTTTTGCTGTAGGGGGTATAGGTCATTACGTATACAAGATGCTTAGTTAGCAGACTTAAAACGATAATGATTAATGATAAAACAACCTAATCCATATAACATAACCAAGTCTAACTTAGTAGTACATTTTTATCAGAAAACTAGCCTTGTTGAAATGATTTTTTACTCCCATTTTGTTTGGAGTTTGAAAAGAAATGGCGAGGGTTAAACAAAGCTCATTTATTTATTTATATACAAGAAGGTATATAAGATTTTTACTTAATTTTTAGTTTTGACAGATAAGACCATATTAAATCAGATACAAGTCATACCACATACACGATGACTCGCAAACAAATGTTAAAACCTATCTAACCTAGGGTTTCCGGGTTCGATCCCCGGTGAAGGCAGAGACAAATGGGCAAAATGTTTTTCATCCTGATGCCCCTGTTACCTAGCAGTAAATAGGTACCTGGGAGTTAGACAGTTGCTACGGGCTGCTTCCTGGTGGGGGTGTAACAAAAAAGGAGGCCTGATCGAGGACCGGGCCGCGGGGACGCTAAGCCCCGAAATCATCTCAAGATAACCTAGCTCAACCCAACCTAAACTAACCAAACCAAGAATCAACCTAACCCAAACCAATGGAGTCCAGTACAGCTTAACCTAAGCTAATACATCCTACCATAACAGTATAGTGTATACGGTTTTAACAAACGGGAAAACGAGCATCGTCGAATTATTTCATGTCCAAAAAGTACCATCCATAAAGTTTGATACGTTAGGATGTATTAGCCAAGATTAGGCTGTGTTAGGCTTGGTTGGTTTGAGTTAGCCTGGGTAAGGTTAGGTAAATTTTCCAATCCATTGGTGAACAGTCATGTGTACAGGGTGACACATTATTACAGACCGTTTTACTAGTGATAAAAAAGCAATGTAGGACTAACACAACTATTGGAAAACAACAGTTGTGTTATCAGTGTATAGTAGTAATTAATAATTTTGTACAAAGTTTGCATAAAAATGTTAGGTGTTTCAAGTAACTCACTAGGTTCTGGTAGACCTTTCATGACCCGTATAAAGGCCAGGCTGTGTGTGAAGAACTGTTAAAACCATCAACAGGTAATATACAGAAATGTTTATTGAACTAAATGCAGCTGGCCGAAGCAGCCATTGACATGAAACTGTTAGCGGCCAGTTTCATGTTAGTTACGTATTTATGGAAACTCTCCATCAGCGACCACATAACCAGATTTTAAAATGCACTATAATCTTAATTTAAATATATTTTGTTATTACAGTACTGTATCTGGTTTTCTTTACAAAGTACAGTATTTATATCATCCTACCCACAACAGTTGTTTAATTTCCGAGTACCTGTTTACTGCTAGGTGAACAGAAGAATTAGGTGAAAGGAAATGTGCCCAGACATATCTGTCCTGACTGGGAATTGAACCCAGGATCCCCAATTGGGAGTCAAGGGGGAAGGCAACCGATTTTTACCTGACTTTACCTGAGGGCCACTAACGTATTAGTGGCCTCGACGAGAACAGAAAAGCTTGTCCAAAGTCCCCTCATTTGCCTTGATTATTTTTTTCCAGTTGGATTTTAAAATGTAAGAGTTTGGGCAATTATGTTTGGGCTTTTATAAGACATTATCTGGATCAACATCCTCCAAATTGTTCAGTATTTTAAAATTTCAATGAGGTCTGCTAAGTCATGTCTGGTTTGAAGTGTTGTTAGTGCTGTGGCCCTCAACTGTTCCTGGTATGAGAGTTGATTACACTGTGATACCCTCAACTATAATAAATTCTGTTTTCAGACAACATACAGCCTCTTTGCTCAAACCCCTGGACATACTAAACATTTAATCCGTACTCTTCATTCTCTTCACATTATAAACACTTGCAAAGCTCTGTTCCTTAATACTAACTCAGATTTTAAACTTCCGAATTGTATGAAATAAGAATGTTTGTGATGTTCTGCATGAACATCACTGCTGAAATATCTCTAAGATTCTCTATGCAGGTCTCTATATAGAGACCAAATGTGTGGAATTTCCTAACCCAATGTCTTCACTTTAGTATCCCACATTGTGCTAATTACTCATCTAGTGCTGTACTATCTACAAATGCACTCCATCAACATAATTTCTCATCACCCTTATTACTACCTTACCTCTCGCTTAACAATTAGCTTAGCTTAGATGTCACGCTATTGTGATTTCTGTGTATAATGAAGTAAGGGCGAAGAGGTAGAACGGCCTATTGACATAGCTCGAGTGCATGGGGGGAGTTGTGTAAAATCCTGGTTTGTCTCTCGGAGAGGCTGCAGGATCCAAGTAAATTCAGAAGAATTTCTGGTTGCAATTCTTATACCATGTCGTAGCTCAGTCGATTAAGGCAGCGTCTGGGATGCTCTTGGACGCAAGTTCGAATCCTCGTCACGGCCCCTTGTAGATTTGTTCTCTTAAGATTAACTGTTTCCCTTGTACAATAATTTAAAATTCACTGCAAATTTTGCGTTAGCTTTAAGATTTGCCTAAAATGCTATGCATGTTAGTGGCTTTACAAGAATGTACAGATAATGGCGATTCATTTGTACAAATAACCCATTGTAGTGAATAATATTGTAGTGTCAGGGGGGGCCTAACGGCTGAGTGGACAGCGCTCCGGATTTGTATTCCTAAGGTTCCGGGTTTGATCCCCAGTGGAGGTGGAAACAAATGGGCAGAGTTTTTCACCCTGATGCCCCTGTTACCTAGCAGTAAATAAGTACCTGAGAGTTAGACAGCTGCTACTGGCTGCTTCCTGGGGGGGTGTAACAAAAGGGAGGCCTGGTCGAGGATTGGGCCACGGGGACGCTAAGCCCCGAAATCGTCTCAAGATAACCTCAAAATACTGTAGTGTAGTGGTCAACAGTCAGCTCGCAATTGAAACGTTCGGGATTGATTTCTGCCGCAGGACAGGGACGTTTGGCACGTTTGCTTTTGCCCGATGCCTGTGTTCACCTAGCGGTAAATAAGTACCTAGGAGTTGGGCAACTATTGTTGGTTGCATCTTGGGAAAGACTAGTAGTTGGCCTAGAGGGGACCTTGATAAACCTAACTGGCTTTGTCCCAATGGGAAATCATACTTAAGTACGATACAAGTAAAAAACTTTTCAAAATCTTTTCTGTGGAGAGCCTTGTAGGCTCCAGGGAGCCTCTGGGCTCACCCAGAAAATGGTGTTTCATTACATTCAGTGCTGTATTTTTTTTTTTCAAATAATGTTACTTTTGTGAGGGTTTGTGTACAGTAATTATTGAACTTCATTGTTGTTTGTATTTGTAATATGTTCTCTCATCTTCCCTCCTGATTTTCCATAACTAATCACTTCTTGCAAAGAGAATTATAAAACCTGTGTTTATTGAATTCATTTTATTTGCCTTCTCACTCATGCTTTAATGTTACTTATTTGATCAATAACACCTTACTGATACAGTAATAATAATAATACATTAATATTACATTTTTATACATACCAACTGCAATATAATGTAATTTGACCATTGACAGGTACAAACCATCAGCACAAGGAACTCCAGGGGCCCCTGGTGAAGATCCAACTACTGACTACATGAATGTACTAGGCATGATCTTCAGCATGTGTGGTCTAATGATGAGAGTAAGTTTTGGGTTTCTGGCATTATAGGGTCTGTTCTGAAGCCCACGGTATCATCCCTATTGTCTACCACTATCATCCCTATTCATCCTGGCACTAGCTTGCTCAGTTTTTTTTGTTTTCAACTCATATTTTATGAACTACTGTATATTGTATGTAAGTGATGTTGGCATTCATGGGAACATTTTCTGTGGGAGCCATGCTTTTTGTATTGTTTATATTCATGCTTCACTTGTCAGTTTAAGTCACCCATCTTGTGTGCCCTTAGCTGTTCATTCATTCTGATTTAGTTTCTCAACTCTCTGCCTTGTAGCTAGTTTGTATTACCCATTCCCACCAGTAATATTTTTCAAGATTCTGGGTGTTGTCCTAGTCAGGGCTTCTCCTTTTGAGTTGCCATTACATCAGTACTGCTTGGGACTCGGTCCACGTGGCCAGGCCTGTTGCTGGGTATTTTAGTGTGTGTTATGTCTGATTCTGACTCGTGTGCCATGTTGGTGCCTTGCATCATCTTCTGTGTGTACAGTTGGAGTCACACTAATAATACTTCAATACCTGTCACATAGGTCTGATCTTTCTAGTTTTTTAATTGATAGGAGGTTGGAGAACCGTCAACTCAACCCTTGTGACTAACATGGATGTCCATTATTCGGTAATTATTGTGCCGAAGATTGTAATTAAGTCAAAATACATTTTCACTTTACTGAAAAATTTATGGCATGAGCGTGAAGTGAGCCAAAAGTGTGACAAAGCAACAGCAGTCGGCTGAATGCTGGGCATGGGGGAAGAGGGAGGGAGGGTGTGAGACTATCCCTTCCTCATTTCCTCTCTCAAGCTTGGTGAAAAAGTTCTCTCCTTTTGAATGTTTGGTTTCAGTAAAGTTGTGTGTGTGTACATCTATAATTTTAATACCAAATTATCCGTGATCAGTATCATATGCCATAATCAAGACGCATCATAAAAGAATTTTTTGCGAATAATTTATTAATAATAATAATTCATTGTGTTGGAGGACTGGCAGCCAGGTTATACATACAGTACATGTTAGGTTTGTATCCAGGTTTCCCCCCCCCCCTTTTCCCCCCTATCCCTAGGGTCTAATTACTGACCCTCCCCAGTATGCAACCCCACAATAAGCTGACTGACTTTTGGGTACCTATTTCCTGCTAGGTGAACAGGTACATTAGGTGATAGGATACACACCCGCCATTTCTATCTTGCCTGGGATTTGAACCCAGAATTCTAGATTGCGAGTCAAGAACGAACTCGACTATACTACCGGTACCCTCAATTTACTGGGATTTATGTCAAGAATGGTTGAGTTTGTGTAAATCCTGGTCATTATGTTATGTTGGGACCACCAATAATTGTCATATACTGTAATTATGATTTTTAAATGGAATTGTTTGCCAATGATTGCTCTATCATATGCCATTGTCAAAATGATAAGTACATACTGTAATAGATCATGTTGGACCACAAATTTTAGATCCATTTGGCATAGGGTCTCCATTTTTGTGCAACTCTGGAGCTCTTCTCAGTGTTACCTTGAGGTGCTTCCGGGGCTTAGCGTCCCCGCGGCCCGGTCGTCGACCAGGCCTCCTGGTTGCCGGACTGATCAACCAGGCTGTTGGATGCGGCTGCTCGCAGCCTGACGTATGAGTCGCAGCCTGACGTATGAGTCATAGCCTGGTTGATCAGGTGTAATTATGTTTAGAGCAGGGTTCTTCCCAGCTGGTTTCACCATTTGTGTTGTCTTCAAAGATTGCCTTGATAGCATTGCTCTAGTTGTTTGAGCTGCTGCTGTGGGATGTGGTTGCATATTTACACTATATGCGGCCTGTCGTGCTTTCCAGCGTGCAGTTCTAGATCATCAGGAATCTTCTTAGTTGTATTCCTTGCGGTTTGCCTCTCTTTTTACACCCTTTCTACTTTCTGGAGGGAAAGGGAGGGGAAGGGAATTATTAGGAGAAATCACTAAATCATTATAACTATATAGCATTTGGAAGGGATCAATATAAGGATTTTTGATGGGACATGGGGACGAAATTGTGCCCAACCACTTGGACAGTCGGGGATTGAAAACCGGCTTGCAAAAAAATGGGCCTTCGCTCTACTGTCTAGCCCAAGTGGTTGGGCGGGAAGGGAAGGTAGATCAATCTTTGATAGCTGGCAGTGCAGTATTTTAGCCTCAGTCTGCTTCAGTTGAGTTCTTCGGATCCAGCTTTGGGCCATGTGTAGATCCATATCTCCTGGTTCCTGGCTGGGGTAGGGGTTCTAGTGCATCGTTCGCTCTGGACAGTGCTCCTGTTCACCCTTCGTTTTTGAAGTGTTGACCTTTTAGGCAAGTTGATTGAAACCTCAGGTAACCTCAGGGCTGTCATCTGGTGGAAGATGGGTAAATCAAGGGCCTACCAGAAAAAGATGTTTAATTATACAGTATTCAATGCTTAATTTTCACATATATAGTACAGTACATGTTTTAAGTAAATAATATCAGACTTTATCTTGGATCATTTTCTTATTTAGGGTTTTAATCTTATAATACTTATATTGAGGAATGTGATTTCTACTCACTTTATGAATTTTAATCCTCCAAATACTGTATTATTAAAACTATGATTATAGAAATTTTAGACATTGTTATAAATGATACTCTATAGGTAACTCATTATTTCTTACTTGCAGTTGAAGTGGTGTGCTTGGGTTGCGCTATACTGCTCCTGCATCAGCTTTGCCAACTCGAGAGTCAATGACGATACGAAACAAATGCTCAGCAGCTTCATGTAAGGTTTATCTTGTTTTCTTCTGAAATTTGTATATTACTAAACCCATAAAGGTACAACCTGTCCTCATAGCATGTCACATTTTAACATACTTTACTTTACACAAGGCCAAAACCTGGTGTACTAAGGCAAATAAACATTGCGACGGGGTAAATACCCTAACTGTGCAACCTGTCCTCTTACAAATTACGTCTGAATTTGGTCGTTTGCCCATATGGCCGAAAATGGACGTAATTTAAAAATAAAAAAATTAAAATAAATTTTGGATTTTGTTTCAAAACAGTAAGTTAAGGGTCCTCTCGTAGGTTAGGAGGGCAGGAAATTGTCCTCAAGTTTCAAAAGCTATGAAAAACGTTAAATGAAAGTTTCCTCTCCTAACCTTTCCAAGTAAGCCAGAGGACTTAGAGAAAACGCGACAGTATGTCACTTTCGTGAGCCAATTTCATTTCAAATTACGTTCATTTTTGGATATAGCATGCATTCGAACGAAAAGCGACGTTATTTTCAAGAGGACAGGTTGAACCATGATGTGCCTGACCACCATCATATGGTGGGTCAGGTCACCTAAAGTCCCAGCTAGCCTGCCATCCCCGCTCGTTGAGCCAAATGGAACCCCCAAATATTCTATAAGGAAGAGAACAGGACTGGGAGGTGAGCGATTGACTACATGCCTGAAAAGGGCATTTCATTACCTGGATCTGGATTTGTACCTGGATAAGGGGGTTCTGGGATTTCTTTTCTCCAAGCCTGGCCTGGGCCAGGCATGACGTGCAAGATCTTGGTCCAGTAGACTGTTGCTTGGAGTGGCCTGCAGGGCCATATTCCCACTTACAATCTAGTTAGTCCAGCACTTCTTGCAGGAAACTCTAATTTTTTCTTGAAGAAATACTTTTGTTCCAGCCATACTTATTTTATTTGCTGTGAGGATATTAAGGAGCCGTGGTCCTTTGATATTCATACAGTGTTCTATGATTGTTCCTGTGGCACCTTTATTCTTCACTTGCGCTATTCTGCATTTCCTACCATATTGTTCGCTCCACTACCTTACCTTACCTTGAGGTGCTTCCGGGGCTTAGCGTCCCCGCGGCCCGGTCGTCGACCAGGCCTCTTGGTTGCTGAACTGATCAACCAGGCTGTTGGACGCGGCTGCTCGCAGCCTGACGTATGAGTCACAGCCTGGTTGATCAGGTATCCTTTGGAGGTGCTTATCCAGTTCTCTCTTGAACACTGTGAGGGGTCGGCCAGTTATGCCCCTTATGTGTAGCGGAAGCGTGTTGAACAGTCTCGGGCCTCTGATGTTGATAGAGTTCTCTCTCGGAGTACTTGTTGCACCTCCGCTTTTCAACGGGGGTATTCTGCACATCCTTCCATGTCTTCTGGTCTCATGTGATGTTATTTCTGTGTGCAGGTTTGGGACCAGCCCCTCTAATATTTTCCACGTGTAAATTATTATGTATCTCTCCCGCCTGCACTCAAGGGAGTACAGATTTAGGCTCTTTAGTCGGTCCCAATAGTTTAGATGTTTTACTGAGTGGATTCTAGCAGTAAAGGATCTCTGCACACTCTCCAGGTCAGCAATTTCTCCAGCTTTGAAAGGGGCTGTCATTGTGCAGCAGTACTCACTCTAGAGAGCACAAGCGTTTTGAAAAGTATCATCATCGGTATAGCATCTGTTATAATATTGTGCAAATTTTGGACCTGGATATTCATACAGTGTTCTATGACTGTTTCTGTGGCACATTTTTTCTTCACTTGTGCTATTCTGCATTTCCTACCATATTGTTCGCTCCACTATGTTATAATACTGCAAATTTTGGACCTGGAGTTCAGTCCATGTATACAGTACATGATACCTCTCTTGTCTCCTTTCCAGAGTACATTTTGGGAGCTTCAAATGGTCCCAATAATTTATGTACTTTATTGTGTTTGTGTGCTGAGTATGTCCTCTGTATTCCCTGTGTTTCAACAATCTCTCTTGCTCTGATTTGTTATTTTTGGGAGAGCCCTGTCAGTAGTTTTCTGAGCTTACTTGTCAGTCACTATAGCATTGACTTCATGATTTTCCTAAGGGTGACAACACTTGCATAATTGTCTTTTGTTATTGAATGTAATTTAAATTACATTAATCCAACCCATTGTTACTGGCTAATAGTTCTGATTTTCAAAGTAAATTATCATAATTAAACAAATATACTTTTATTTGCTTGTCACAAATAATTTACTAATTATATTAACATTTCAGGTTGTCCATTTCTGCAGTTGTGATGTCCTACCTTCAAAACCCACAGCCAATGACACCTCCATGGTCCAATATATAAACAGTTCTATATTATCGATTGTTTTTGGTTGAATGGAAATGTATAATTGCCTCACCATACTTGTATTAAAATTGTACTGCTGAATGAGTGACAATTTTAGTTTTAATAAACTAGCTAATGGTGCCAGGTTTGTATTATGATGTGCAATATGGAACAGTGCCAACATTTGATGATGTGCATGAGTTACAAAATGGCTTGGTTTGTTAATCTTTTAATTTGTGTAGCCTGCACTATATAATTCTTGTGTTGTACTTCCCATCCAAAAGTCTTTTTTTTTTCTTTAACAAATGGACAAATTTGTATTGTCCCATAACATTATCATGTCATTCATGCCAGTGTAAAAGGCAATAGCATGAAGGTCAAAGCTTGAAATATCCTGGAATATGAAGTACCATACGAGTTGATCCTCGAGTGACAACCACATTAGTACAGTAGATAGCCTCCATATTAGACATAAAAGGAAGACTTGATCACCACGTTAGAAATAGAAGAGTGAAAGGGAATTGGGAGTGGAATGGTAGGCAGTCAGTATGGGGGAAGGGAGACTTTTGGAGTACAGTACAGTACTGTCCATTCAGTAGAGCCAGGCTGTCACCTGATCGGATGACAGGCAAAGTTATCAGTCACTAGCACTGATTTTATAGTTTTCTTCGAGGTAACATCAACTGCATAATATCTTTTTGATCATGAAATTACATTAACTCCAACCAGTTACTGCTGGCTAATAATTCTTAGACATAAAGGAAAGAAGACAAATCAGAAGAGCATGTTAAGATAGGGCTACCTGAATAGGTTTCAGTTGTGGTTACTCCATCAGAGGGGCGTTCATGGGGATAAAGACAGATTCTACAGTAAATTGTTAATTCCTCTTTTAGGACTGCCTCCTCTTCCATTTTGCTTAGTTATGCAAAGTTGTTGTTTTATGGTTACAAAGGAAACATATCATTCCTTAATTTCTTATTTTGACTGTATCAGAATTTAGAATTTCTAAAATATAGTTACAGGTTGTAAGTACAGTATGTATAACAGTTTATACAGTACTATACTTAGTGTATAAAATATATATTAATGCAGGCCATATGTATTATTGTTAAATATGTACTTTTGTATTTCATAGTAAACCTTTTACCATAATATATAATTATCTTCTCCTTTCAATAGTGCATTTGTCATGTTGAATTATATGGTATATCAGGATTTTATCGGTACTACCTTGTTGACTGCGTGTTCCTCCCATTACTATACTGTATACAGTATCTCTCCTTCCCATTACAGTATTACGCTGAGATGTATCAGTAAGGTGGTTGGGCTCACTGGCTCAAGCAAAGAATATTCACTATACAATACTATATTGAATATAAATTCAGTGGATTTTGTACTACATGGGAACCTGGTCCAAGATAGGGATTTTAATCTAGCCAGTGACCTGTACAATGATTTTGGCATCTAGATAATGCAGAATTTCTCCAAGACTGATAATTTTAAATTAATATTACTAAAAAATTCAAACAGTGCTTTTTCCATGGGATTTCTGCATCAAATTATGCACAAATGTATGTCCTATCATGTGCACAAATAAAGGGTGAATGCTGTGGATCTTGTTGTCCATTAAAATCTGTACAATAAAGCTTTCAGTCACATGCCATCCCTAAGGTGTGGCGTTGTTTACAATTTCCCATTTAGAATCCTTTCATTAGAAAGTATTTACACCACAGTATTGTATGTCAAACATAAAAAATATTAAATGTATAAAGATATTGTACACAATGTGATAAATCAATGATATAATCTTTAGAGCAGGACAGCACGATCGAACCAATGTTGTGGATAACCACAGATGTGCACCTTAACCCATGGACTAGGATGTGCAAAAAGTTACACAACCTGGTCCTCATTCACATAAGTATCACCCCACCTGCTCTTGTTGTTCTGTCCTTTCTGAATGGTGGGTGGTAACCTAGGGGATAGAATTCCCCTTCTATTGTCCTCTTGGCCTCATGCTTCACTGATGTCGAGATTTTTAGCCTCAGCATATGCACATGACGAGTCAACTCTATTTCCTATGCTTATGGCATTTGTTTAGAAAAAATTAAACTCCTGACATTATTCCTGGGAGGTTGAAAGATTGTTCCTGTATTTAGCACATTACTATTCCATACATTTCACTCTGGTTCTGAACCTGTTTGTCATCCGAGATATATAGGTTTAGTTCTGTTTTTTACCCAGAGGGTAAAGGGTTTTTACCCAAAGTTTAAAGGGTAAAAACTCTGGGTAAAGGGTAAGTTGTGTGATGGTCCAGAATGGACCATTCAACTTGATAATGTAGCTGTAAATGATAGTAACATAACTTGATAATGTAGCTGTACATGATTGTACAAGTCATGAAATTGACTCATGTTCAAACCAATAATTATCAAACACAACGGCAATCGTTATATTAGACAGGGCTTGAATTACTAGTAAGATTCGGGATTAGAAACCACCAAAAACTTTCAACCCTACCTCAGCTATGGCACTCTACTGTTTTTAAATTAGGGGAGGTTGGGTATTACCTCCCCCCTCCCTCGACATCTGGAGTTTGTGAAAACAAGTTCACATAAGTATCACCCCATAAGTTTGTGAAAAACAAGTTCACAAACTCTGGGAGCTGAAAGTATTTTTTAGCTCCCAGAGTTGGGAGCTGAAAAAGTATTTTCACTGGGAAATTTGTGTTGGTCTAGTTGAGTGAAATTTAAATTTGTGTTGGTCTAGCTCTGAAATATACAGTACTGTATGTCATTACTTTGCAAGGAGAAAAAAAAAAGTTTTAACCTTGGCCTAATTTTTCCTTTGGCCTTTGAATCAAACTATGCCTTTGTTTAATACACAAATACTCTGCTAAAAGTATGCTTAACTTGACATACTATATAAAAAATATGAATAAGAATCTGTGATTGGAAATTAATAGGTTGAAGAAGTTAAGATTTTCAACTGAAATTGGAAATATCCAGTGTAATGAAAAGCCTCTTTCTGGTGGACCTGTTGATGGGCTTTAGGGAGTATTAAACAAGGTGAAGATTATAAATACATTAGTGTTAATTTGTACAAGAATTCCCTTTTAGCACAATGATATTGAATACCTGTATTAAGTAACACTTGAGCATGATAAGAAGATATTAGTTGGTATAATAGAACTGATATAAGCAATTGAGTTGGAAATAACAGGCATGAAAGGCAAAGACAGTAGGCAGAATAAGGAGATGCCACTTATATAAACGGTGAAGAAAAATAATTGTCAGTTGCTTACGGCACAATTGGTTAAGGAATAAAAGGACCAGCTATGGTGAGGCACATGTTAATATTGTATTTAGTTTGTGATAACAGTCAAGGGTTTGTCAAACTAGCTTTCGTTTTGTTAATTTTTGTGTATATCTTGTGAAAAACATTAATGTTTTATGTAGCACTTCAGTAAATTAATAAAATCAGCATTAAATTGAGGATATTGAGAATACAGTATAAATTTTCAAATTATTTCTTATACTAAATACATACTTAATATTAGAACATTACATGAGTACATTATCCCATACAGAATACCAATAATATTTGGTAGGATATTAGATACAAAATCATTAAACCTAGAATACAGTTTGCACTCAAGAGCGCTGTGAATCACGGGCTATCATATGCAGAAACGATGACAGCATTTATAACTTTGCATGCCTGCTTCCAGCCCTCTTCAGCCTTTGGTGTCCATGCAGATCCCAGGCTATCTCGGAGAAAATTAAGTAGCACAGGGAACAATTTCTGTTAAGAAGAGAGTAGAAACACGTTGAGAAATATATACTTGATACTTGCATCTGTGTTACATTGTAACAAATTAATAAAACATTAATAAAAGACATGACAATGAGAAGAAGTATAGGTAAGAGGTCATCTCCAAAGAAGTTTCAAGGAGATACTCATCAATGATGTAAAGTAATTAGGAGAGCCAAAATAAAATACTATGAAAATAAATTTGACCAAATTAAGGGTAACATTAAGAAAACAGAGAACTATTTCAGTATTTTTGCCACTCATTCTATCTATTTGTAGTTCTAGGCCAATCTTTTATGCGATACCTTATCAAAAACTTAAAAAAATCTATCTACTCTATTTACATAGACCCTATGTAGATGCTTTCAAAAAGATTCTGGAAATGGTAACCAAGATATCTAGATGAAGATTTCAGGAAACTTTTCATGAAACACTTGAAAAATTTGCATATCACAGTGAAATACTATATCTCTTCTTGTTATTCAACCATAGCCGTGTTTTGCAGTGAAACGACGTCATCTGCATCAAAGAAACTACCTAGAATTTCAACCCAGGATTCACGATTGAATTACAATCCCCATGGCACAGTTGTAAGACACTTGCCCCCCACTCTTCACGAGCGATTTGGCCTAGGTTCGTATCTTGGTTGGGGAGGATGGGCTGTGTGCCAACCATTAACTTGACACCTATTCACCCAGCAGTGAATGGGTACCTGGTTGTTAAACAACTTGGCCAGTCATATTCCTGGGAAAATTAAAATTAATTGCCTGAAATGCTATGCGGGCTAGTGGCTCGGTCCAACTTGGGTTCAACTGGTCCAAATCTCAGCATTGTAGCATAAATAGGAAGGGAGAAAAAAATATTGAATTATGTGTCAACAATTTTCCATCAAAAAATTAACATCAAACACAAGTGTCAACTGAAATCATGTCTATGACTCTAAGCTATCACAATAGCATATAATATAGTATTTTAATAATTAGTTTTTCCCCAAAAAATTTAGTAAAAAAAAATTTAGATTTTTTTTATTTATTTTCTCTATTTTTGTTCTCATATTTTTTATCGGGCGATTTGCATAAAACTTGTACACCTTACTGAACGTATGCCTATCTGCATATTTTCATACGTATGACTATCTGCATATAGTGCAAATTTTGACAGAAATCGGTCGACATGTATTGTCGACCGATTTCTTGACCGTACAAGACTGTACTTGAATGTACAAGCCATGGTGTAGGACTGAAAATGGAAGAGATATAAACTTATGAAACCGCCTATAACTCTACTGAATATAACTGCTGAACAGAGTTCAGCTCTGTTCTATAACTCTACTGAATATAACTGCTGAACAGAGTTCAGAACTTAAAAATCCAGTTTGAGCAAATCATCAAAACAAATGGAAGGGGGGGGGGCCTTTCTCAAGGTGCTGGTTTCCTGTCCTCACTGAGCTCAGTAGTGTAAATACAGGTAAATTCTAGACTATAAAAGATAAAATAACGAGAGACTGTCCTTTCCCTTACCGCAAAGTCTTCCCTGGGTATTCCTCTATTCTTGTGGTTGGCACCTGTATTTTTGAGGAGCTCCACCAACACTGACACATCATCCAAGTTGTCCACCATGCTAGTTATTGCCATCATTACCTGGGAACGGAAAATGTAAGCTTGTAAGAAGTAAATATCATTTTTAATATACTGTACACAGTACAATATATGATGTGTGCATGTTGGGAAAAAATAGTGGGACAAGGGGGAATTAACAATACTGTATATAATTGACTGTTTTACATTAGTCAGTTCAATACTGGCCATTTCTCCATGGTGATTGATAAGGATAAGGATTATGATAAGGATATCATAAATGGTATCCTTAAATATTGTTTTAATAACCTTATAATGAAATAATGATAATAAGAATTTTTGAAAAATGCTAATTTTCTTTTGAGTTTGACGACAATTAAAATTTCACTCAGTCCAACAATATTTAAATATTACTTAAATCATCTTGATGCTGATTATAATAGAAAATCTTAACAAAAATAAGCATTTTTTGGACATAACTGCAGAGCCATAGCAAAAAGGAATGGAGGGGTCCATGAGAAGGTGTGGAACTGACTCCAGTGTCATAGTAAACAGGTCCAGGGAAATGAGTTGTGCTTACTGCAGTGCCATGAAAGAGCGAGGGGGAACTCACCGTGGTACCATGAGCAACAAGACGCTTGCTCTTACGCAGCTCTGCCTCTGGTACGCCGGCAAACCCTTTAAACCTGGTCTGTATGATTGGTTCATCCTGGAACAGTCTGAAAATTAAAGTATAAATGTCAGAGGTAAAAAAATATATAATTTAAGATTATACTGCAAATAAGCACACGATGGTGACAGCAAGGTTCTCATACTCCGCCCAAGTAAAATTGAAACAAGCTTCACATGACCCAAGGAAGGTGATAACAGTAATGTTCCAACTCCAGGAAGGTGATGACAGCAAGGTTTTGACCTGAGGAATGTGATGACATCAAGGTTCCGACCCGAGGAAGTTGATGACATCAAGGTTCCGACCCGAGGAAGTTGATGACATCAAGGTCCGACCCGAGGAAGTTGATGACATCCAAGGTTCCGACCCGAGAAAGGTGACGAAAGCACTGTTAAGACCCAAGGAAGGTGATGGTAGCAAGGTTCCGACATGAGGAAGGTGATATGCGAAAGGTTCCGACCCGATGAAGGGGATGATTCTACAGAGATTCTAATTTACCTGATTATTCTGAACTTACCTGAATTAGAAAGATTCTAATTTAGAACCCGAGATTCTAACCTAATGAAGATGACAGCAAGAATCTAACCAAAGGATTATGATGCCATCAATTATCTGGCCATATAAGATAATAAGAGCAAAGAGCAAAGTTGTTGACAGCATGAGTGTAGCCTGAGTAATATGATGGCAGCATAAATCTGACTTCGCTAAGTAGGGTTGAATGGCAGCATGAGTCTGATCAATGATGATGACAACATAAGCCTGACCTGAGGAAGAAGTTGACACCATGGACCTTCATGTCAGGTCGCACCAGGTCCCAGGTCCTGATCATAGCTGTGCGATGGCGTAGTGTAAGGCCTGTGGTAGGGTCGGCCACGTCTGCGCCAGGGCCAAGGTCGTCCTCTTCCGGGAAGGTCATCGCCTTCACCTGTAAACAACACGTGAATTACTTATATGTATGCAGGCATAATTTAAACAAGCAGTATTTCTCTTCAACAATAAATAGTACTATTATATTTCTACTAATTAATTTTTTATAATGTCAAAAAGCTAAAAGACGTGGTTCGATCACTTTATAATAAACAAGGGAAGCATGGGTGACAGGTCTCTTTGACAATACAGGTTCTCCTTAAGACTGGCCGGGTGCGGCTACAAGTCTTGCTTTCTGCAGGATCGGCTTTTGATATTCTATTGTATTAATTCATTAAAAGCAAATTGTATGTAAAGGATAAAATCCTGAGATTGATAATGGTAAATTGATTCACGGGAAATGTGTAATTATCTTAAGTGTAGTTACAGGATGAGAGCTACGCTCGTGGTGTCCCGTCTTCCCTGTACTCTTGTCATATGGTACTATACCAACCTACCAACGTTATTGTGTTCCAATAAAAAAAAGTTAAGAGTGCTTTTCTCCAGCGGAGAGTTGTGGGGTATAAACATGTCAGATATTCACCCCAGTCTTTATACATGCTGCTGAAAACTTCTCGTTCCTGTTTACACTTAAGTCTTCATGTCTTCACATGGTTACCGCTCTCCCGGTTTTACCTTCTCCTAACCTCAGTTGCTCGAGTGCTCTTCAACTCGACTTTCATTCGTTTAATGTGAAATGCTGTGTATTTCGTGCCGTGGGACTTAATTAGTAAAATGTGCCCTTTATTTTATTAACACATCAACATTGAAATATATACCAAATGTTGGACTTGAGGCCTATCAGTAATACAAAATACGGGCTGTTACAACCAAAAATGCGTCAGTTTTAAACTATTTATTTTGTACAGGGCTCGAGAAAGACAGCAATAACCTAACCTATTTTATCCAGGCCTAAAATAGATTATGTGTATTGAATTCAGGATATGCTTGCAAGACCCCTAAGCCTCTGACTGGCCCACTGTGTCCCGGCCCACTCGACTGGACAACTGGACTGGTCACTGGCCCACTCGAGTCAGCAGCACTTGAACCCTCAACTACTTATAGAATGCAGCTGCACGACAGCTTTAGTGCAGCTAAAGCTGGTGGGATCATCCACCTATGATCCCCACCAGCCTCCTCCATCCATCCTAATCCCACCTAACATCCCGCCATATGTCGACCATTCATGTAGCAATAATAGCCGTCCTTCCATTTAGTACTCCCTCATCCCCAGATGTCGACACGAATAGTTCTGCCTTACTATACAGTTGGTTATTCTACACTGTGTACTGATGCACAGCATATTACTATCCTGTGCGTGAGCTACGTCCATCACAGTGGGGGATACCTTAACAACTAAGACACTTACCTTAGAGTTGGGGACGATCCAGCCCCACAGTCCACTGAGAATACCTCCCATGCTTCTGGCTATGTCAGCTGCTCACTGCGTTATCTGCAACACAACACAAAGAGGTCATTTCACTCAGCCTAAACACGATAAACACAGAATTATACGTCTTGTATGATTACTCCGTGCAGTACTGTGGCAGCATGTATTTTCTAATCTTACTAATTATGTAAATTTAAATTTGGTCATTAAGAAATGAATGGAAGTGCACTATATAAGCTGTGAATTGCGGCGCCCTGTTATATGTTTGACAATGAGAGACACGGTAAAGGTGAGATACACACATTGGACGATGATGTCTGTTCAGATAGTACTTTTGTAACTGAGATGCGAAGAATGTACGAAACAAAGCTAAAAACCAAACATAAATATTCCTAGGCCTAGAATAACATATGTATGTACGTATGTGTGTAATTACCTAAGTGTGTATGTGTGTGCGTGTATATATACATACACACACGCATTACCAGTGGAGTAAAACAGCCCACCATAGCAAGGTGGTGGAAGTGTACAAAATCTAGTGGGTTGATGGTCTTCATCTGCCACGACATCGATGCAGTAATGCCCACTCCAGGTCCCCGACACGTTATTAAGTGCCGCAGATCAATACGTGCGATATGCTACCAGATGATTTTGTTTTAAGACAAATAATTGCAACACGCCGTAGCGCAGCGGTAATGTTGGTAAAATACATAGCATTAACATTAGAGGGGGGGAGTGGAAGGGAGTTCAATGATGTCTAAGTGGGTGCTGGAGCCTGGGGTATGAAAGCTTACTGCTCTTTTAGTATTGTTTACCCTTTTTTATATATATATATATATATATATATATATATATATATATATATATATATATATATATATATATATATATATATATATATATATATATATATATATATATATATATATATATATATATAATTTTGTATTTAAATTATTCTAAATTTTCCCGAAACGCTTTGAGTCTCATTTGTATGGGTAACCCTTGTCCCTACAATTGCCCCTTTTATGTTTTATTCACATTCTTATTAATAAAAATTAATATATTATTAGAATTATTATTATAACTCACGCCCCTTGAACCACGTCCTTTGACTCAAGTCCCTTGACTTGATTCCCGCTCCTGAGCTCACGCCCCTTACGTGCTTGATAACTGCTGGATGGGGTTCTGAGAGTTCTTCTACTCCCCCCTTGTTTCACACCCCCTTGAATCACGCCCTATGACTCCAGCATCTTGACTCGTGCGTTTTGGCCCACCTCCCTTTGACCCCAGAGTAACAGACCTGATACAGTGTGGTGGTAGGGGAGCCAGGAGTGTGTAAAGAAGTATAATCACAAATCACATGGAATCATAACATCTCCATAACCCCGGAGAACATGGGTTCAGAACAGGCCGATCCTGCCTCTCACAATTGCTGGACCACTATGACATGATCTTAGGTGCCGTGGAAGACAGGAAAACTGATAATGTAACATACACAGATTTTTCTAAATCTTTCGACAAATGTGACCTTGGTGTTATAGCAGCATGAACCTTAATGCGCGCGCTGTAATGTAATAAGCTGAAAAACATTACTGAAAAAATAGAAAAACGGCGATTCAATTTCACAGAACAGAACCAAACGCGTAATAGTCTACCATTAAATTATCATTATCTACCATTAAAAGCTTAGTCCCTCAGGGACTTCTACCGTCAAAAAGCTTGATCAGTATTTTTCTCGTTATCATATCGGATATAGACAAGTACACAAACAATAGTACCGTATCATCCTTTGCCGATGACACCGCTTTTTATGAGACAATATAGAGAACACAGCAAACCTCCAGTCATGTAAATCAGGTCTTTCAATGAGCCAAGGAAAATAATGATTAATGAAGATAAGTTCCAGCTCCTGCACTAGGGAAAAAACTGAAACTACATATAAAGCGAAGTCAAATCACACTATGGAACGAAAAAACAATGTAAAGGATCTGGAAGTAATGCCGGAAGACCTTATGAAACACAATAAAGCAGCTAAAAAATGACAGGCTGGATAACAAGAACGTTCCAAACTAGTGAAATACCATATGAATATACCAAGACTAGGCTCTCTAGGGTGGACATTGTTGCACAATAACAACCCTATTCAAAGCTGGATAAATGGCTAACTTGTGCACACCATACACTTCCTGTGAACGGAAGACACATCAAAAGGCACGTCAAAAGCTGCCTGACGCAGTGTGTGGGAGAGCAGCCTGACGCAGTGTGTGGGAGAGCAGCTTGACGCAGTGTGTGGGAGAGCAGCCTGACGCAGTGTGTGGGAGAGCAGCCTGACGCAGAGTGTGGGAGAGCAGCCTGACGCAGAGTGTGGGAGAGCAGCCTGACGCAGTGTGTGGGAGAGCAGCCTGACGCAGAGTGTGGGAGAGCAGCCTGACGCAGAGTGTGGGAGAGCAGCCTGACGCAGAGTGTGGGAGAGCAGCCTGACGCAGAGTGTGGGTCTCATTATGTTGCCAGTGAGGGGAGGCAGCGACAGCCACGCGGTAAAGAACCAACAATCGAATATCAATACTGCTTGATGGTTACCACTATGATTGAACCGAGCTTTTAGTGATCAATACTGGTCAATTATGATATAACCGGGCCCCTCAATGCTCAATACTGGTCAATACAAATACAAAAATACAAATATTTATTCAGGTAAAGTACATACATACAAGTGAGATTCACCAATACAGGTCAACTCGCAGAAGACTTATCATGGAGTTCTCAACACTAATCTGAGATTCTAAAAACAGGTAGACAAGATTCACAAGTCTGGTGAGTAAAGTAATCCGCCCGACCAAGACCTTACATCCAGTTCATTGCTTTCCATAAATCTCCGGGTCTCTGGGAAACGGTAATCTTCTCAGTCCAAGTCAACATGGATTTAGAGCGGGAAGATCTTGTCTTTCCCAACTACTCGACCACTGTGACAAAATCATAGAAGCCCGAGTGCATGGGGAAATTGTGTGAAGCTTCTTGAAGCTTGTGTGAAGATTCCCTCGGCTTCAGTGGAAGCCGAGGGAATCCTAGTGGGTTCAGTTGTATCCCACTTTGCAATTCTTTTTTAATGAGGGTGCCTGCGAACACCCAGCGCATAGGTTCGAACCCTCATCACGGATCCTGTGGATTTGTTCAGAATAGAACCAGTGAAAAGTCGAGACCATAGGCACAGCCATAGAGCACTGTCTGAACATCAGGAGTCCATACTCTCCCAGCAAGCACTAGAAATATTGCCGGAGCAAAGTGCAGAGCCCGGCTCCAAATAAATGGAGCATTTATTCTTAAGAGAGGGAGTTGTAAGGAAATTCAATATGGAGGTATTCATTTTGCGAGCTCTATATGTTAGACTTTCCAAAATCCATATTTTACCTGGAGAGGGTCTCTGAAGTTCTATAACTTCTCTAGCCGGGGCCGGCTGAAGAATGAATGAACAAACATTCATTGTCCAAACACAAAATAGTTTTAAATAAATTCAGAATAAATCCTAGCTGTAAAGATAACATAAGAAAAAGCACAGTTCCACAATAGCCATAGCAACTAACAAGAACACTTGGACAAGTAAAGCTAATTATCTACAATCATCTCAAATTATATATAATAAGCTACAATTATGGCCGACAGAAACAGATCTTCAGTTTGAGACTAACTGATACCTTTAACCACTTAGCAAGGCAGCGGAAATGTATATTTTTACCTGTCTATCCTTCATGTAGAGGCCACCATGATCATAAACCCTGACATAAGAACAACAGTCCGCAGGGAGCCCCTAACAATGCAGTCACTGTAATAATTCACCCTAGCCTAGGACTCAATTGTTACCTTTAACCACAAGGACAAGGCAACGGAAATTGAATTTTTTTTTACCAGTGTGTAAAAAGCTTTGGACTTCGTGATAGAGTGATCATCTGGACAAATAAGAACAACTTTGTTATGCTCACAGAACGCTAGACAAAGTACTCACCAAAGTAACTCAGTTCTGCATTTAGGAATTTGGGAAAGACGAGAAAATGATGTCCGCAGGAGAGCAGGAACACCGATCATTTACATTATTTTCAATAACGAATACTATAATGTAAACTTACTTCTTAATTTATATAATTATACAAATTTATATTACGCGTAAATAATAACACTAAATAAGTGCTGATTATTTAACGTTAAAGAAATGTAATATAATAATTAGTTTGATTTAATAAATAAACTCAGCCCGATCCAAATTAGAGAACTTTATATAAATTGATATAACCGAGCCTTCTCGGTTATATCAACTGACTTTTTCGTAAATATTTGATCACTAAAATAAATTAAAACAGTTACAATAAGATATATAAATTATATGTTGAAGAAACCTAGAATAAGCGGTTGATATGTGTGCTCATTTCGCAAAGTAGACCCCACTTAAATCCTCATGTGAGTGGAGGTCAACCTGTACCTTGATCTCCAAGTTAAATATCATGAAGTGAAGGGTGACCCTCTTTCTCCCCCTCTCTCAATCTTCTCCCTCATAGATCCCCATCCTCCCCCTCTCATAGTTGCTCCCTCTCGCGTAGGAGAGATAGATAATAATCTACATGTGGAATATATGCCGATATTTCTTATAGGTATTGGCGCCTACCCTGACTGCCCTACAACACACCTACAACTCTGACACGCTTCACGTGTCCGAGTTGCGTAAGGCGGGACCCAAGAGTCTGGGCCTCCTTCCTCGGATATAAGAGCAGGCATCCATTACACACACAAATCACAATAGCGTGATGTATCAAATGAACAGAACAGAACAGATCCTATTTAACAGATGTAGATTGCTTAAAACATCAGAAACGTCCATTTTATTGTTGAGGAAACATGAATGTGGATAGAAGCGAGGAGAGAGATGTAGGGACGAGGTGGAGGACGTGTGGGTAGTACTGGAGGGTAGGTTGAGAGGACCACCTCGCCCACAGTAATTGGCTGGTGATGCAACGCCGCAGTCCGCGCCCATATATCCCTCTCCTCCCCACCCACCCGTCCTCCTACCAAACGC